CCTTTAATTAAGTGTCAATCGCCTCCATATGTTGAACATTACATCATTGCAATATCATCCTAGTCTCGAGACGATCCAAACACTAACCTGTAAACTGTAATCAAGTTGCTGGTTATTGTCTCTCCTGTTGATTCTGTCCCTCTTTCCTTCCGAATCTGTGCAGTATAATCTTTTAAACCAGGATGTCCTCCTCCTCAACTGGGGAAGTGGAGTTTTGAGTTTCAGTCACGGGCCTCTTTGAACAATTTGGATTCCTTTGGGGTCTTTGATCCAGTTTCACACTGTTTTTCCCATCTCTTTTTTCACATTGAAGGACATAATTAATATGCAACTTGGTATGTATGACTACCTTGCAAAACAAGTCGTAACACTTTGTGTAGGGACTGAAACTATGTATGAGATATGTCTTTGTCCGCACTCGTTATACCATTTTCTGTAGTCGAAATGAAGTAAACAACAACAAAAACATACCCAATGTAGTACGTAGACCTTACCCCTACCTCGTAGGGATAGAGAGGCTGTTTCCAATAGACCCACGGCTCAAGTAATGCATCTCAAAGCAGTTTGAAAAGGAAAATACGGAAATGAAAGTAGTAACAACGATGAAATAAAGCGCTAGGGTCGAAAGGAAGTAGACATGATGAACTTTTCAACGTCCAATTTTCATAATGTCCACAAAGGCATCAAGATGAGAATAATTAATTAGCACACTAAAAGAAACTTCCAAACAAACACAGATTTACTAATATGCACATAGTCATTATCATTATGACGAAAACCAAAAGTTGCAAGAAGCTTACATATTACTACTATCTACAGAGTCCTACCCAAAAATTCTTCTTGCATTTTTCAAACTATTCATTGTCATTTTCCGTTTAATATATACTCTCATCATATATCCAGAGATTGTCCAAACCGCAGAACTCACCTAAAAGAGATCCATACTTATCAATGATTGGTACACCCAGTTCCAGCGAAAAATTGACTTCCCTGCCATCTGGAAGTTGGACCCATTTTCCCATTGACGAATCTGCGTCTTCTTGATTTCCTTGCTTCTCCCATGTACTAAAATCAACCGGCGTTTTGCTTTGCAACTCGGACTCCTTTGATCTCTGAACATCGAATTTCATGTACTGATTAGCATGGCAAGTTTCTTCAGCAGCTGATTCAGACTGAAGTCCTACACAATTTACAACTAATTTCTCTTTCCCAACTTGCTTCTCCCCTGTACTAAAATCAACCGGCGTTTTGCTTTGCAACTCGGACTCCTTTGATCTCTGAACATCGAATTTCATGTACTGATTAGCATGGCAAGTTTCTTCAGCAGCTGATTCAGACTGAAGTCCTACACAATTTACAACTAATTTCTCTTTCCCAACTTGCTTCTCCCCTGTACTAAAATCAACCGGCATATTGTTTTGCAACTCGGCCTCTTTTGATCTCTGAAACATCGAATTTCATATACTGATTAGCATGGAAAGTTTCTTCAGCAGCTGATTCGGACTGAAATCCTTCACAATTTACAACTAATTTCTCTTTCCCAGCTTGCTTCTCCCCTGTACTAAAATCAACCGGCATATTGCTTTGCAACTCGGCCTCTTTTGATCTCTGAACGTCGAATTTCATATACAGATTAGCATGGAAAGTTTCTCCAGCAACTGATTCAGGCTGAAATCCTTCACAATTTACAGTTATTTTCTCTTTCCCAACTTGTTTCTCCCTAGCATTTAAATGAATTTTCTTACTACATTTCTTCTTTGGCTTGACTATTTCCCGAAACTCGAGCTTCTTAGATTGATAAGCTAGGGAAGCCTCTTCATACGTGCCAAAAGTCCCCAACCAAATCTTTTTCTTACTAATGGGGTTTACAATCTCAGATGTATATTTCCCCCACTGGTTCTTGCGAACCCCAACGAAACGCGTTGTTTTGGGAGAATCCATTTTTTTATTTCTACCCCCACTAGACAATGATGCCCCAACAGATGATTCAGGTTTAGTTTGATCACAATTCTTTGGTTTATCCTTCTTATATCCCTGAGTTAACATATCAAACTCAGACTTCTTGGATAAATAAGCTTGTGAAGCCTCTTCAATAGTGTTAAAAGTACCTAACCATACTTGCTTATGCTTAATTGGATCTCTAATTTCAGCACTATATCTCCCATTCTTTTGCTTTCGGATTCCAAGTAAGCCTGACTTAGCTTTAGGATTTCTTTTCATAGTATTACACCTATCAGATGATTTAGACAATGAACATGATGTTTCTTTACAAGATTCTAGATTCATGACGTTTATTGGTTTCTTAGATGCATGCATGTTAGAGTTAAAACCTTTGCATACCTGCTTTTTCTTGAAAGTTTTTTTTCTCAATTTCCCCATGTTATGCCATTCAGCTCCAAGTAAGGTGCTTTTGTGAAGGAAAGATATCTCCTGAATAAAGGGATTTTTCCCATGATCAGCAGCAGTGGCAGTGGTAGCGGCAGCAGCATCAGCAGTTTTGTTAGTCGAATTTGAGCTTGGCATTTCATCAAGCATGTGGTGGGCAGTAGCAAATTCACATTGCTTAGCTAAATAAGCCTCGGAAGCTTCTTCAGCAGTGTTGAATATACCCAACCAAACCCGTTTTTTCGTAATCGGGTCCCATTTTTCAGCAACATACTCGCCTCGTTTCCTCTTCCGAACCCCAGAAAAATTTGCTGCATTCTGCAAACCCAAAACTGTACTGTCACTCCTTTCAGCAGCAGGAACACTTTTGTTAGTGGAATTTGAGCTTGGCATTTCATCATACATGTGGTGAGCAGAAACAGAGCTTTGATTTTCTTCTGCATTTGCTCCTGCAGATTCCATGGCGAATTACTATGTACAAGAACAATGCATGGGATTGAAGGGTGAGATGAAAAAAGGGGAATTGGAATTGAGGATGAGCATGTTTGAGAGTATTAATGGTGGAATTTCCATTGACACTTGTCCTGACAATTGACACATTTAACAGTGAGATGATGACAACTGTTCTTGAGGAGTAGAAATGTATAACTTGGTAACTTTTGACGGGTTAACATAGCGTAGTTGGTTACGAACAATATATTCAGTGTAATTTGAAGACGAGTGTCCAAAGAGAATAGAGTATAAACAAATTTACCCCTACATGGTGGAGGTGGAGAGGTTGTTTTTTAGGACGGGTGTCGGAAGAGAATAGAGTATAGACAAATTTACCCCGAAGGTGAAGAGTTTGTTTCTTAATAAACTTTCCGTTCAAGTGCAACAAATCAAAATATTTAAATACGACAATAAAGAAAAAAGTCAATTAATAAGGAAAGTGGTACATGGGAGTAGAGAAAAGAAATAATAATAATAAAAATGAAATAATGTGGTAACTAAAAAGAAAATACATGTATTTACAACATACATGCACAACATAAATAGGGTGCCCAAGCTTCCACCATGCCTAAATTTGTAGAAAAGCGAGTTAAAAATCAACTATCTATTGATTTTATATTTCAAATCGTGCTTTCTATATCTTCATATCTAATGTTATGTCACCGGAAAGTTAAAGTTGCATAATATCATGTCTAATTACCTCTTGCCAATACTTCTTCGATCCACTTTGCCTTTCCTCATACCTACTATATACAACCTCTTACACCTCCTGCTGGGGCATTTAAATATTTCATGTTCATATGTCCAAATTAAACCATCTCAATCTCTCTTTCTTCATATTCAACATGAAGAAATTATTCGTACTATATGAAATGATTACGAATTGAATTATAAATATTTGATTTGAAATTTGAAACAGCAACAATAACGAAAAAATTGTGTATTATTTATGTAAAATTTACACAAATTTCATAGTGTTAAGAGCTAATTACGTCATATTTCTATTCTTTTTCAAATTACAAAAAATCCTTAAAATTAAAGGATTTCAGACACATCATTGAACGTCATGATACATCGCGTCTCGATACATTACCTTTGTTGATACAAGGCATACCTATCCTGATGCATCGCTCAATGTTCTAATACATCGTGTCTCATACGTCGCTCAATGTTTTGATACATCGCATCCTGATACATCGCGTTTCGATACATTACCTTTATTGATACAAGGTACACCGACCCCGATATATCTCGTCCCGATACATGAGTGATGTATCCAAAAATAGGAGAGAGAAGAAAATGAGATTTTTTATAATTTTTTCCAATGGTATGGAATTTTTAAAAAGTATGATAAAAATAAGTTACGTATTTAGATAAGTTTTACTTATTTTATATTTATAAAAATAAAAGATAAAATAAGCCATGCATGAATAACTAAACTCTGATCAATTCTCACACAAAATAATACACAATTTCTCGTAACTAAATTTATTATTAATACCGCATAACTCTAGTGAGTTATAAAAAGATTATTTTGTTTTGAGATGTATGCGCTTGTTCTCTGTATTCTTTTTGGAAAATGTTTTGATTTTTCTTTGATCGGAACGTATAAATCTGATTTTCGATCTGTAAATCAAATCAGTATTTAGATGAATTTGAATAATCGAAGATCTCTAGCTCGTTCTCGTGCTCGGGCTCGGTTTCAGGCTAAATGGGTTGAAGGTACCGCCACCGCCGGAGATGTCGCCGGAGCTGTTGCCGTAGCCATAGAGTCTGGTTATTGGTGGAATCTAATTCCATCTGGTGGTCGTCAAAGAAATGTCGACACAATGTAAAGCTTATTTTTTGAAAAAAATTGTTTTTTTTAGAAAATTATTTTTTATTGAAAAACAAGTAATTTTCTTTTTTTTTTTTTTTTTTTTTTAACAACAATGTAGATTCTATTTCAAAGCAAAAGGTTACAGAGGAGGACCAAACCTTACCTCATACAAGAGTAGCTAGAATGGTAAGCCATTCTTACAATTTTAGCTTCCAAAAATAAAGCAAAAGAGGAAGATTGTTCCTAGTACAGTGAGGTTTCCAAAAAGTCTAGTATAGAATACCTAGTACCATTCAAGAAGAGCTCAACCAGGGTCGAAGATAAAAGTGTTTTTCCTTAATCTGATTCTAAAGTTGGGACGAGCTTCTTCATCATTCTTCATAGTGGCTACAATCTTCCTTGGTAAGTGAAAAGTTTCTGTGAAGAAGTCATTTTTCCTGTCAAGCTCCGCATAGTTGGCCAAGAGATCAGCAGTGTTATTCCCTTCCCTGAAAATATGAATGAACTGAAAATTTCCCTTTGAAGTCATATTATGGATGTCGTTAATCTCCTCCTTAATGCTCCATGTTGTAGTAGTAGCTTGGTTGATCATGTTAATCACAGTCAAGGAATCAGATTCTATAGTAAGAACATTGAAACCGTGATCAATACACCATTTCAATCCAATCTTGATAGCCCGTGCCTCGGCCAAGTTGTTAGAAGAGTGACCAAAATATGCTGTGAAAGCCATGATCATATGACCCATATGATTCCTCAAAATACCTCCACCGCCGGCACTTCCTGGATTGCCCTTAGAGCAACCGTCAACATTAAGCTTGTATTCTCCGTAATTAGGCTTACTCCACAAGACGGGGGTGATATCTATCTTCGGCTTGATATTCTCCATCATCCGACAAATGCTTCGAAATTTTGTGGGAAGCTTTAGGGAAGGGAACTGGGAAGTGAGGATCAAATGGATGTGGTATGTAGCTTGATGAATAATGTTGCCAGAGTAAATTTTGGTGCCTTCATATTTATAAGTGCATCTATGTTTCCATAATTCCCAGCAAATCACAGAAGGAAGGCATTGAGTGGTCAATTCAAGCACTTTGTTGGTGGATTTAATACGCCACCATCTCATAAGCTTAGTACGAATGCTATCAGAATTAGGCCAGAGCAGTCCCAAAGTATGTTCAAAAAATTTCCAAACTTTCTCCGCTATTTGACCATAGCTAAACAGGTGGTTGATGTCCTCATTCATTCCATTGTGACAACAAGAACATTTGGAAGGTCCCTGCACACCAAAACGAGATAATGAGAGTAATTTTCTTTCATTGTGTAATTTGAAGAAAAAGTAAATTTTGTTTTGAAAATGAAAAATGATTTTTGTAAATTACTCCCTCCGTTTCACAAAGAATGACCTCCTTTCCTTTTTAGTCAGTTTCAAAAAAATAGACTTCTTTCCTTTTTTGGTTAGCATTTTACTTTTTGCTTTCCACGTGGCATGTTTAAGACCACAAGATTAAGGACAATTTTGTACATTTGACATAACTTTAATTTAGGACCACAAGATTCAAAAGTCTTCTTTAATTTCTTAAACTTCGTGCCAAGTCAAACCAGATCAATCTTTTTGAAACGGAGGGAGTAGTTGTTTTCGATTTTTTGTGAGTAATTTTGAGTGAAAATACCTTTTGTTAGTTTTAAATTGTTGAAAATTATGGAATTCAGCTTCAAGTTGAATTTTGTAATTTTACGATGAAATGTGTTTTTATGAGTTGAATTATGGAAAAAAGTATTAAAAAATTGGTGGTCGAATGCTTTCTTACTTATTTTTTAGTGTTTGATAACCGGTAAGTAAGAAAATATGAATAATATTGAGTGTGAAAACACTATTGTGAGATGGTGTGGGGAGTGAGTCAGGGGTGGCGAGGGGTGGGATGGTCAAGGGTTGGGGTCGGAGGTGTTGGTGAGTGGAGAGGAGACTACTTTAGGAAAGTCATTTTCCCGGGTCGGAGGTGTTGGTGAGTGGAGAGGAGACTACTTTAGAGAAGTCATTTTCCATCATTTTCGAGTAACTTATTTTCCGAGAAAATATGTCCAGAAAATTCACGGGGTTTATCTGTTTTCTGAAGATTACTACTTAGGCAAAAGTTTGACAAGTCAACTTTGGAATTTTGTCAGAATTAGGTATTCGCATTTAAAGCCGGTTTGATAATCTGAAGTTTATGGATTCTTATAGTGATTTCAAGTTAATATGCATTATTGATATGTTTATATTATACTTCAAATACAAGGTACGGGGAAAAGCTACAGTTCACTAAAACACGAACCGATAACTTGTAAGCTAGGTCCATTCATATTCCCATTGGTTGTTTGGTTAATTGAATTTCAAGAATTCAAAATCAATCATATCTCCTCAAGTAGTATTTGAACTTAAGACCAGTCGGTTAACAACTGATAGCTCTACCACTGAACTACTGAGGAACAACAGGAGATTCGATCTCATAGAGTTCAATTCCTGTTCCAACCCCTGACCAATATGAGCCTCAAAGCCTCGTTTGTAGCTCCCGGAACTTCTTCATAGTGACTTCCTTACATCCCTCATTTCAGAGGGAACCAATGTTCGTTCAATCAAGCAACATTTTTTTTTCTTAACTTGAGGGGTATGCCCTGGATATTTCCATTTTTTGGTTTTCACTCAAGGAACTAATTCAAGTGGAAAATCTACTTTAACTCTCTCAACGCCTTACATTTTGTTCTGAATTTGTAGAAATGACTGGTTGCTGCTCGCGTTAATTGGATAATAACTGATGCTGTCAAGAGAAAACAAGTTTTAGTCTTTCACAGCAGAGCGTAATGTCAAATACTTTAGGCTGATTTTATTTTGTTGATATGGTTTTTTAGGACGGAAATCTTAACCAGGCATACACCTGTCTTTGAGCAAGAAGAAGTATTGCGGCTTCAGAACATTGCACTGCAGTTCGAGGAAGAGATCTATAATATTGCGACAAGTAATGTACGCTTTCTAAACTCATTTCTATATACTTAAATGATGCATTTTTAGCTGTTATTCCTGTTTGTGTACACGTCATTCATTTTTCCAGTCATCTAGACGCGGTGTATGCATTTTTATCTTAAATTTATCTGATGTCGCAGGAAGATTATATGCGGAAAATATCTTTAAAGACGCGGACCTTGGAGGCGAATTCTCAATATCTGATCAATTATTTCGATCCCTATGTTGCAAATGATGGTCAGAACGCCCATGGCCCTGCAGGTGAACAATGAAAGTTTATGCTTTTTATATCGCATTTTCAATTGCAATTTGAAATTAAGAAAAATGATCCTCTCATTTGTAATGTTCTGTTTGATTCATTTCATTTTTCAAATTTCTTATGTGGCGTCGTACACAACAATAAGGAAGCTTATGGAAATTAAATCTTGAACACGAGTTTTGTTGGAAGCAAACTTCCCCTTAGAAATCTACCTTTTTCCTTGTATTTTTATTCATTTCTAAAATTCCGTTTTATATTGAAATTTGAACCTAAGAGATGACAATGGAAGCTACTTCCTACAAAACTACTTCTGGGCCGGAGGAGAGTGACGAGGAGCAAACAGTTGAAGTACACGATTGGGACGTGCAAAAGGAGGATGTTGTAGAGGAGGTGGTGGTTATAGAGGAGCAAAACTATGTTATTAGACACAAAGAGAATGAGGTAATTTTATTCTCGTAGTATAAATCTCTGAAGTTACTAATGATCTCGTGTTTTGTATAAATGATCGTCTCGTTTGTTTTGTTTTAAGATCTCCTGTGTTTAAAGTTAAAGGTATTTGAAAATTTATAAACCTCTCAAGTTACTAATAGTTGCTCGTGTGTTTTGTTCTAAGATCTCTTGTGGATTGAGTTCTGGTGCTAAAGTTGATGAACGTCTAGCACAAGTTGAGGAAAGATTAGAGAAAATGGAAGCTCAATCAGAAAAGGCGGAGACATTGTTGGTTGATATTAACGAAAAATTGAACTATTTAGTGAAGATGCAGGATGCTAAAGTTTCTAGGGACATTAGACGTCCAGCTAAGTACATGAGCTCCCCGTGGACTGGTAATGGACGATCAAAGAGGAAACGTAGAGTAGCTGAGATGATAAAGCAGTCGTGCAAGCATTGACGATTGGGAAGAGGTGATCAGGCAGTACATCGAGTTACTAACCAAAGAAAGTTAGATGAATAATTACTTATACTTTTTTCCTTACTACTAAGATTGTTATGATTAGCACAATCGTTATTATAAAACACCATGTGGCCATTGTCAATGTATTACTTCCATTTAGTGTAATGCATCAAATAATAATCTGAGGTGATGGATGAAATTGGGTTAATTTTACGAGTATTGGACGTTTATATCAAATCATACTAAATCATGGTTAAGTAATAAACTAAAGTGAGAATGTGTTTGTCAACCCCGAATCTGGATGAGGTGGATCGACTCTCAATGTCTTTAACTTTGATGCCATAGCTTGATCAGACGAATCGACTTTACTTAATTATACAAAGCAAGAATGTGCTTGTCACACCCCGAATCTGGATGAGGTGGACCGACTCTCGATGTCTTTAACTTTGATACCATAGCTTGATCAAACAAATCGACTTTACCTGATTATACCTACAATGCATATGTACAAAAAGAATGTGAGTACATATGAAATTGTACTCGTATTTAAGGTATTAGACAAAATAACATTAAGTACCAAAGCTCATATGAGAGAAACATGAAACATGGCATACTAAAAGCATCTGAAAAATTATAAAACAACCTCTAGGGCATTATGTAATACCTCACCGTGCTTAGTATGTTATGAACTTAAACCTAAACATATACTTTTAGGAGTTAATATCTTAAAAGGTCATTGAACTATAGAAAATTATTTAGTAAAGTCATTGAACTTTATTTTGTATCAATAAAATCACTCAACTTAAAGTTTTTATCTTAAAAAATCACTCAACTTCATTTATCATTAAAATAAACTTGACATGATAAAATATAAAGATTATTTTTATGTCATGTAATTATAAACCCCAAAAATAAATAACCTTATATAATCTATTTATTATTATACCAGACCCACCCATAAATTGGCTTCAATTATTTTTTTCTTATCTGTTTGATCTTATCAGTGACATTTTTGAATTCTTGGATGTTGAGGTCTTTCAGTGGTTTAGTCCATCAGATTTCAAGGTCCTCGACACAAATTTATTTTACGAATTATGTATGGAAATTTTAATTTGACAACTAATAATTTATGTAATTATTTAATGATAATGGCACGTAGTATTTTAAAAAATATATATTTTTGATTTGCTGAAATGGAGGGAGTATTAGTTAATTTTACATTTTTATTTTCTACTATATAATTACTTAGCTTGTTCCAAGTCTCGTGACATTACACAGATAAGTATCTTCAATTGTACTAATATTAATTTTTCATATTATTGATATGTAAAAGATTGGACATGAATTTAATGAAGTTAGAGAATATTTTTTAAGAAATTAATTTGTACAATGAAGGGAATAATTTGACCATAAAAAGATAAAGAAGTTGATTTCTCTTTTTTTTTATTTTTTATGTGATGATTTAATTTCTGTAATCAGAACTAACAATTGTAACTTGCCAACAATTTCAATTTTTCAGCTATACAATTTGCTAGAGGAAATAATGAAAATAAGAGCATGAATCGGATATATGGGTTTCAGGGTGGGTTGGTATAATAATAAATAAATTGTATAAATTTTATTTATTTGTGGGATTTATGATTACATGGTATGAAAAGTATTTTATTTTGTCATGTTTAATTTATTTTAATAATAAATATAGTTGAGTGATTTTTGAAGATAAAAGCTTTAAGTTGAGTGATTTTATTGATACAAAACAAAGTTTAATGACTTTGTTAGATAATTTCTCATACTTCAGTGACCTTTTAAGATATTAACTCATACTTTTAGGGGTCGTTTGATAGAGTGTATTAGAAAAAATAATGTGTGTATCAGCTTTGTGTATTACTAATATTTTGTATTACTAATATTTAGTACCCTGCTTGGTACATTTTTTTAAAACATATATTAACTAATGCAAGTAATTAGTATTAATTATACACTTTATATGGTATTAATGTATGTATGTAAGTGTATTCTGAAAATAATGGAAGACTTCTGCGAATCCTCTAGACAAGTAGTAAACACGAGCAAATCAAAACTAATATTCTCCAA